ATTCATTTCGTGCATTCTTCAAGTGAACGGCGTGAAAAGACGTCGCATAATTGTATATCGTATATTTTTATTTTTCTTAAGTTTTCTTATTATTAGAAGACGTGTCACCCACGCATCGATATGCTGTTTTACAAAAAAAGACATATATTAGTGACTTACATAAATTTAAAAAAAAAATTAATCAAATTGAAATATAAGAAAAATATAAGACTTACCCCCCCATCGAAATAGCCATTGTCTTCGACCCCTAATAATACGCCCCACCAAGACCGATCAAGCAACAAATAGATATCATCGGTGAGCTTGCATATGTCAGTGAAACACCCCTGGCTCTGCTCATGTAGATAAAAATCAACAGCGGTCTTAGCCCAAAGGGTGTTATCCAGAATTGTGTCCGGTAGTTGTTCCCTCTCCTCTTCAGATACCGGTATGGTACTGGCCGGTAACTCATACAAGAGCCAACTTGAATCCATCATGTCCGGCACGTCAGAGGGTTTCTCAAGAAGCCTACATATGACGCCATGTGAATCGGGCTCTTGAATGGTGGGAGGGACCTCTTCAATGATGACAGTGGCCTCTTGAACGGTGGGAGGGGACTCTCGAGGAATGATAGGGGGGCCTCTTCAACGATAGGAGTGGACTCTTGAGGGATGACAGGCGAGTCGGGCTTCTTCTTGCGGTGTCTTCGCACTATTGGGGTGTACGGAGACTTAATAGCACGTGCACGCTGTCTGATGCGTGAACTCCGTCGTGCAAGCATAACCCGACGTAAAGCATCCACTCTATCGGGCCGCTAAATAATTAAATACAAAAATCAGTAAATAAACAGACATGATATTTAAACAGTGAAAACAAAGACAAATATGTTTCAAACTTGCATTGTATTCACCCAAGTCATTATTCTATCATAGTTCACAAAATGCATCAGATAACAAAGAAAAATATGTTTCAAACTAATACCCTGAAGTTAGTATTTGTCTTTGTTTTGTCTTTTGGTTGAAAGTAAATTTATCCATTCAAGTTTCAATTTGCAGAAGAAGAAATAGTTTACTTTCGCAACACGAAACTTAAAATCGCAACGCGAAACCAAAATCGCAACGCGAAATGAAAATCGCAACGACAGAATCGCAATGCGAAATGAAAATCGCAACGAAAGAATCGCAACGCGAAATGAAAATCGCAATGCGATTTTGGTTTCGCGTTGCGATTTTGGTTTCGCGTTGCGATTCTGTCGTTGCGATTTTCATTTCGCGTTGCGATTTTAAGTTTCGTGTTGCGAAAGTAAACTATTTCTTCTTCTGCAAATTGAAACTTGAATGGATAAATTTACTTTCAACCAAAAGACAAAACAAAGACAAATACTATTTCACAGTGTTAAAGAATACACAGTTTAGCAGAATTGGCAGCAACCGAACAAATTTACTTTCAACCAAAAGACAAAACAAAGACAAATACTATTTCACAGTGTTATAGAATACACAGTTTAGCAGAATTGGCAGCAACCGAACAAATTTACTTTCAACCAAAAGACAAAACAAGACAAATACTATTTCACAGTGTTATAGAATACACAGTTTAGCAGAATTGGCAGCAACCGAACAAATTTACTTTCAACCAAAAGACAAAACAAAGACAAATACTATTTCACAGTGTTAAAGAATACACAGTTTAGCAGAATTGGCAGCAACCGAACAAATTTACTTTCAACCAAAAGACAAAACAAAGACAAATACTATTTCACAGTGTTAAAGAATACACAGTTTAGCAGAATTGGCAGCAACCGAATAAATTTACTAAGCAATCTAAGTGAAATGGCTAATCTAAGTGAAATTACGAGTAAATTTATCATTAAGTTAAATATGGAAAATCTTAAACTTACATCGTTGCGTAGAGTATGAACCTCATTCTGCAACGATACTATCATCTCACGTAGAGCGGCAACCTCACCACGTAAAGTTGACACCTCCACACGCCATGCACCATCGTTATCGCGTAGAGTACCGATCTCCTCACGCAAGGCATTGACCTCATCACGTAACTCCCTTGACTCATCCCGTTGAGGTGGAGGTGGAGAACAGGGAGATAGGAGTCGTGGCATCTTTACCGGTCGCCTATCATGAGGTGATGGTGGAGAAGAGGCTCGATGATGTGACGGGATAGGTGATGGCTCTCGTTCTAGAGGTGTATAGTCGGGTCGATCGGGTGATGGCTCTAGGTGAGGTGATGGCTCTCGAATTGGAGGAAGTGGATGCTGCTCATCATCCGTGCCATCAAAAAAATTCTGACTAGCTTGCCACCAATCAGTGGCAAGCTCTTCCTCCGTGGGTGTCAGTCTTTGTAATGGAATGTTAGCCTCCTAAAATATAAAAACTCAAACAAAGTTAAACGTCTACTATTAATAACTTGTTTATATATTATATGAAAGTATTTGTGTTAACTTACATTATTTATTGTGGCATATGGTATTAAGTCTTCCCAATCCAACAGAGTTTTCCTCTTCCAGGAAATAGCCCTGGGAATATCATTTGACGTTTTTATTGCATATGTACGCATGCTGGGGAAAGCCTCGAATATCCAAATCTACAAACAATATAATAACAAAATTAGTAATTGTTAAATAATTAATTATAATTTTAGAAACATTATATAGAAATTCTTACCTTAAAGGCCCAAACAAAGCCTGACAAAGTGTATTTGGACCCATCGCCCCGCAAACTTTTGCGGTCATCAAAGGCAGACGACAACTTAGTCCAGGTAGCTTTCCATATATACGAACCCCACGGAAACAGATTCCATGCATTCAGGTCCTCTACCAATATTATTAGCTCCCGATGAATAGGTTGTCTGGCCTCTCTGCCTAAAAAGCCGGCATACACAAGTAGTAGAAGGCATACTCGGACAACATCGACGTCATCCATCCGAGTGAAACCAGCTTTCTTATTAAACAATTTCTTCAGGTCGTCGACATGTAGGTTCGGCTTCTCCATTGACTCATCCGGAAAAACCCGGGATAACCATGATGGGCGGGCGATATGACGAGTGTACCGGCCTACATCATCGTGTCCGAATCGTAGACCAGTGATTAAGCAGAACTCCTTCCGCCCAAAACAAGTATACGCTGGTGGAAAATGAAACCATATCTCTTCCTCACCACGTTGTATACTGTCGGGTAGATTTGATGTCATGGTCTGAAGCCACAAATGGGTCAAATTAGCATCTCCACCCGGATGCTGTACTCTCAGCCATGGCCCGAAGCAGGTTTCCTCAAACAATTGTCTTTGAGCAGGTGAAAGCTTCTTTGCAATTGTAGTGGCCAGGCTGACTTTATTTCTCAAGGTCAATTGAGCCGAAAAAAATTTCTACAAAAACAATAAACATACCAAGTTAGATATACCAAAAACTACACTGTGAAGATATACCAAAAACAATAAACATAAAAAGTAGTAGTTTATTCTTGAAACTAAAATTTGCAACACTGTTTTGTCTTTTGGTTGAAATGAAAATCGCAACGAGAGAATCGCAACGCGAGATGACAATCGCAACGAGAGAATCGCAACGCGAAATGAAAATCGCAACGCGAAATGAAAATCGCAATGCGATTTTGGTTTCGTGTTGCGATTCTCTCGTTGCGATTTTCATTTCGCGTTGCGATTCTCTCGTTGCGATTTTCATTTCTCTCGTTGCGACAGTCATTCTCTCGTTGCGATTTTCATTTATCTCGTTGCGACTCTTCTGCAAATTGAAACTTGAATGGATTGCATTACTTCAACCAAAAGACAGAACAAAGACAAAGACAAATACTAACTTGAAAATCGGAACGAGAGAATAGCAACGCGAAATGAAAATCGCAACGACAGAATCGTAACGCGAAATGAAATCTAAGTGAAATGGTTAATCTATTATTGAAATGACCAGTAAACTTATCATCAGTTTCAATATGAAAAACCTACAATAATGCAAACATTTCAAAATAAAAATAATTAAAAAAACTAACCCTCGGAGGTTGATTTTCCATTTCTGAATATTGTGAGGGATTTCTGACCGTGAATGGTTGTGAGGGATTTCGCCGGAGATGGGGACGGAAATCTTCGGAGATGGGGACGGATTTCTTCGCCGTAGAGAGTGAGAGATGGAGATGGGACTGAGTTGTGATTTTAGGTTTTAGGTTATGAGTTGCGATTACGGGATTTTGTCTTAATATTCTTTTTGTAATTTGAAAATAAAATACGCGTAGCGATTATAATGGCGCTTTAAATATCGCGTTGCGATTTACGGATACGCGTTGCGATTTTATGTATTATCGTTGCGATTTACGGATACGCGTTGCGATATACGGATACGCATTGCGATTTACCCATACGCGTTGCGATTTACGGATACACGTTGCGATTTACGGATACGCGTTGCGATTTATGTGTTCGCGTTGCGATTTTCATATTCGCGTTGCGATTTTGGAAAATCGCAATGCGAATTTGTACTATCGCATTGCGATTTTCAAGAATCGCGTTGCGATTTTGGAAACTGATTTGCGATTCTGGGGATCGCGTTGCGATTTTTATTTCGCGTTGCGATTTTGTTGGTCATTTTGGCAAATCCAAAAAAAGTTGGTTAAAATCGTATATTATAACTTTTTTTTGGTCACTGAGGCGATTTTCTCAAAAAGAAATACCGTGTTACGATATATAAGCAGCATCCAAAACCCTTCTCCACTTTGCTCAACATCCATTCCGTATTATGCGGGTCATAACAGGACTTAACACAATCCGCAGGGATCTTTCCAAACATTGCATAATATTTTCATTCGACGCTCAGAACATGAATTGTGCTGAATTAGTGCATCAAAGTTCTTCAACCAACCCATATGCAATCATGGTATCTTGAAAACTTGATTGCTTCGAAACATTCATCAAGCATATTAACCAAATACCAAACAAGTGAAACGATCACATTGATTAACAGTAGTTTTTACTGTACATTATTCCATTATACCGACTTATAACTATACAATACTAGTTCCTGCAAACCAGAGCAATCACGTAGGAAAAACATCTCTCCTCCGTACAAACAGATTTTACTCAACTGCTATGACTTCCCCTTCTCAAATCAGTTGTCCTTCAGCTTATACACCGTGTTGACGTATTCTTCAATGTCCCAAAGGAACGAACCGAAGGCGACAGCTTCCAAAACTAATCTCTTCAGGCTGGAAAAAGATGTCTTAATCACCTCATCCGTCTTGGGAATACCTGTCTGCTCGTCACCAAAGAGCGCAAAGCTGTGCCTCTCGATCAAATTTGCAGCCTCTTTGGATCTCAGTTTGGCGCATCGTTGCAGTGTCTCAGGGTCGAATCCCATTACGTAACACCTTAACTCTTTGAGATTCGTATCCAGTATACCCATTCCTTGACCTAATGGAGCAAATTGCATGTCTCCGATATGGCCAAACACAAGACTCTTAATTCCACAAGGTAAAAGATCCAGAAACTGGAGGGAGTTCCTATGGTTCAGACGTTTTTGATGAACCAATGTTAAGCATCTTTCCAGTTGGTGTCTAGAGGAGGCAGACTTGAGAAAATAGCCATAGAAGATGGAGGCTGCATAAAGTCGACTTAAATGGAGCCGTTGGATCTCGGTGGTAGCCCAATTGTCTGTAACACTTGAGTTTGTTCTCAAGCCAATAACAGTGCTGACATGTTCCCTAACCATCTCCAGAACCTCAATGCTATGTATGGACTCTAGCTCCCAGTCTTTCGAAGGCAATATCTCGAGTCTACAATTGTAAATGCACCTGGAGAGCTTTGGAACCAATGGTACACTGAATTCGGAGAATTTGTAAAAGATTAACATGTACATGACATCTTCCACAGCAGCTTGGCACTCCTGCTCTTTCAGTTGAGCAATTCTTCTGGAATTTACAGAAAAAAAATGCAAATATGTCAAATTAAATAAAAGAAAACGGATGTTATATCGATCAACAGAGTCAAAGGATCCAACATACAAATTTTGAGGCATTCCAAGGGCAGCTCCTTTAATAGGGTGATAATAATGGCAGTTAAAATAACACTATTACAACCATCGCCTGGAAGCATCACAAATAGTGCCAAGCTAGGGATTTCGGAGTGCTCTTTTCAACAGAAGACAAATGCCTTTTCTAATTGATATCACTATTAAACATAAAATACAGTAAACTTCTTTTCTAATCCAAGCCAACAGAAGATTCCACAAACTAACAAGTGCAAACAAATTATGATAACAGCATTAACTTCAAACCGAAAGAATAAAACAATTATAAACACATATGTATCAGAAGAAATATGAAATCAGCAATATAAACAAGGGAAGGTGTATCCGAAACACGAGTAATGCACCATTATGTACTTCCATTAAATTACTAAATAAGACTTAACTGCATTAGACTGAAGGCAACTCAACACTTTCTACAACACATTAGAAGGCTGCACTCATTAAACAGTAAGTAATGGGTGGTTCTTATCTGTTTATAAATATGATATGATCCTTAAGCTTTTTGTAGAATTACAAGCGAAACAGAATGGTCACAAGTAATGAACCAAGGTAAAGAACTTAAAACTAAGCTTCAATAGTTAATTTATTCAGCCTTGGGACTAATAACAGATCGAAGAAATCTCAATATCTACTTAACTAGACTCGTTACATGATAAAAGCTCTTTCATCGGAACAAACATGCCAGGCACCATTAGCAAAAATTAAGGTTAGTTTGGTTGGTACTCCAACTTTCTCAATACAAATGAAAAGCTAAAAACAAGAAAAACATAGCACAAAGACAAACTTAACCAAACCCAAAGCATCAAAATATCAACTTATCAGCATAAAAAGAAAACTCTTTAAAGATAAAAGAAAGATAGTTTAATAGGCTTTTAATTGTTAAGGAAAAAAACTTTCTTTTACTCTTGAAGAACTGTTACACATACAAAGTACAAACCTGTGAAGATGTGCTTCATCAGAATCCGAGCTAACTAACATACGAGCAACGGCTGCATCACGATCATCGGCGAGCCGCTTAAGTTCATCGGCTGCGGCGAAGTGGAAGAACTGCCGTTGATTCTGTAGGACGCCGCTTAAAAGCTTCCCGGGAGCCGACCTCGGTTCAAGAGGAGCGTTCAAGCTGCTAAAGTCACAGTGACTAGGCCCGGCGCTGACTTTGACGGAGGACACACTCTGGGCATCGAAATCAACAGAAGTAAAACCAGTCCTAAGTGATCGCCGGCGGGTATAAGAAGAGTTGGGAGCGGTAAAATCGTGCCGAGAAAGTTTTACCAGGGATGGTAAAAAAGAAGAGAAAGAAAGAGCTTTGTCGAGAGAGAAACAACGGTCCATCAACTGTCAAATGAGAAACCAAACAGAATATACTGAAATTATGGGATAGATTAAAGATAAGAAGGGAGGGGTTGAGAAGATTATGGCCTTATCGCTTATCATAACATTATTGTGTTTGCCTAAGATGATGCAAGTTGGATAGGGTTTGATGACTTTTTTAGGTCTAAGCAATATAAATTTATTATATATTTACTCATCCAACTATTTTAGTAATTTTACTTTAATTATTTAATTAATTTTTAAACCATAACTAATGAATATTATATCTTTATTTGATTTTGATCATTTATCATTAAAAATATAAAATTATTAATATAATTAATTTTTTATTTTATTGATGATGTGATACTATTTTATGATAAAATTATTTTATGGTGATATATTCGTATTATCGTTAATTTTTAAACTATGAGTGTTTAAAATAGAATTAAAACGTAATGTTAGGTATAATTTATTTTTTTAAAAGTTATATGACTATAATGGAACTATGGTATTAGTTGAGTATTAAATTTGTACTTTACCCGTTTGTTTATAAAAAAAATAAAGAAAAAGGAGGTTGGAGAATTATTAGGGTTACTTGATGTGGATGTATACGTTTGTACTACCTGACACGTGGAGAAAAGATTGGCCCCAATCGAATTAGGGATGATAAACGAGTACAGTTTTGTGGATTTCGCACCGCACCCGCTCCAATTGGGGCGGAGATGAGTATAATTTTAACGGGTAGTGGGTGAATGTGGATTTAGAAAGTGATACTCGTCACTGGTAGTGGGCGGGTAATGAGTTTGAGACATTACCCACCCCACATCCGCTCCGCATCTTCCCGCCCACTTTCTATTATATATGTAGGTAGTAGTGATTTTAAATTGGAGTGCTCTCAATTGAAGGAAATAGAGAATGATGATTGTAATACTGGAGTATCAGATGTCACAAGTATTGCCTGAAATTTTAGAATGTTGTGCCAATGAACAAAAACATTATGTGTTTGTCATTTATGTTTATAAACTTTAATTAGGTCTTTTATTATGGTGTTTTATGTACTATAAGATATATATTAAAATTTAATTCAGATAATCATTGGATTATTTTATTATGTTTATTAATGGATATGTTTCTTAATGAAAATGTTTTTTTTATGTCTGTTGCTTATATATAACTTAAGATTGCTTTCATGCGGGTCTAGACGGGTACGTCGCTAGTGGGTGTGGGGATGAATTTGAGAATGTACCCGCGTGGGCGGGTGTGGATTTAAAAATTTGTACCCATCATGGGTGGTGAGCGGGTGATGGATTGAAAAAATATTAGGTTGGTATAAGGATGGAGAGGGAGTATCCGTATCCGATCCGCCCGTTTACTATCCCTAAATAGAATGAACCAGTCTTCGATAAGAGATTTTTTTTGTGGGGGGTCGATTGGGAGAACACTGACCTATGTCTGAATATTGATGATATTTTCTTGATTTCGACAAGTTTTAATTTATTAGATATTATTTTTAAAATTTATTTCCCCAGGTAAAATTGACCAAATTAAATCATAATTTTTATTTTTTGAATAATGAAATAAGAGATAAAGAAGAAGTTGAGTGAATTATGGGATAAGGACAGTGAGGAGAGGAACAAAATGGATAATACTTTACACAGTTTATGATAAGGAGACCTAACCAGCACAGCACCCATTGTTTAGGCTTACTGTATAAATAAGTTCCCAATTATACTTTTTATATCGAATCTGACGAATCATAATAGGTGCTTTTATTATTATTTTTATCTATTCATATGCCTAAAGTTATAAAGATTGTTCTTTTAGATATTTGTGACGTTAATGACTTTCGTTTTTCACCTGACCTTTGTTACAAATTGGTAATTTTAAAATTTATATTTTTAAAAAACATTAAAATATTAGTATATTTATAAAAAAATTAAATTCTTTTAAATTAGAAAAAAACTCAAAATCTCTAAAATACCAAATCTTAACACTAAGTCGTCGCCAACGCCCTCTCCAGCCACAACATTGTCGTCATCCTAGTTATATGTTATTGTATTTGTCGTCGATTCATCGTCGGAATCGTGTGGGATTACGATTTTTATCATAGGGTTCACAAGGTATAAAACGTCGATTTATTGTCGATCAGACGTTAACGGGTCAAGATTTCATATGGGTTTTGGTCATTGAGGGGATGAGAGGTCGGGTGGAGCTTCTTCGACAGCAAAGGGCGGCGGTCGGCGAGAGTTCAGGGGTTGAAATGAAGGTTTTCAAAGTTTAGGGGTTATTTTCAAAATTTATGTGTTTTCTTTTTTTTTAAATATATAATTTTCTTTTTTTTTTATTTTATAAAAAAATTCAAAATTGCCAGATCGTGACTCGTGTTACTTATCGGGAAAAACTAACGCTATTGACGATCGAACCACATAAAAGAATAACGTTTATAACATTAAGGTGATGTTTGTTTTTGCAAATGTAAAAGGTCTGCAGTCTACGGACCACATCTGCAAGCATCTGCAGCAGAAGAGGTGGACCAAAAGTCTGCAGTCTGCAAGAAAAAGACTGTTTGTTTTTTAACGTCTGCAGACTGTTAAAATAAACTATAATATAAATAAACTGATTTTTTAAACTTAAAAGAGTTTTTCAATACTGAAATTTAAATAATTTTAGTTTTATAATAACGAAATTTAAATAATCCATACAACTACAATAATAAATTTTTTAAAATAAATCAATTCATATTTTTTTTAAAAAAATCAATCAATATTTTTAAATAAATCAATCTATATTTTTAAATAAATCAATCTATATTTTAAAATAAATTTTAAAATATATTTAAATAATTTTAATTTATTTGAAGAGGTTTGAAGACCTTTGAAGACATAAAACAATGTCTGCACCAAGAAGACCTCGCGCAGACGTTAGAAGAGTTTATGTCTTCTAAAAAACAGACGGCCTGCGAAACTCAATGTCTGCATGTGGTCTACGCGACGTAGACATAAGAGCTTTGCAGACCTTACACAGTAAAAACAAACACCACCTAAGCATTATTTTTTTATTATTATTTATATCACCGCCCATGGTATTTGTATTTCTTACGATTAATTAAGTTTGATGCCCTTTGTATTAAAATATTAACCCACTTAGAAAATAAATGTTTAAATATTTTAAGTTTTTGGCTTTCATAATAGGCTTATATGCAAAATAAATGAAGCACTAATATGTGAACATAGTATAATCGGGAAACAACAAAAAAAGCCTTAAGGGTGTTTGGTTAAAAGATTGTGAAATTCTTATATTCTCATGTTTGGTTGGTCGGAAATCTCATTTCCGGTAAATTTTTATATTCAATAATAGATTTTTTGGGATATATTACCGGGAATGTCATTACCTCCATTTCCTTAGGTATTGTAACATTATCGGCGTTTTGGACTAAAATGCCCTTAATTTTTCTTCTTTAAAAATATAATTCTTCTGTCATTGAATAATAAAAAGTATACGAAGGTTAAATTACAAATTTATGCTTAAATTATTTTAGATTTACAAAAAAAAGTCTATAATTAAATTTTATATGAAGTTGAGGGGTTAAAAAAATGTACCATTTCATTAAACATTTTTTATATTTTTAATTTTGTAAAAAAAATTATATAAATATTATGAATTTAATTTTTTAAAGAAAATATATAAATATTTTACAATTTGTAATATTATATAAATATATAATAAGGACAATTTGATCAAATATACATTCCAATAATCTTTTATTCCTTTAACCAAACACGACAATCTTACATTCCTGCTAAACCAACCAAACATAAAATACAACATACCCAGTAATCATATTCTCTGGTAATTTTTTATTCCCACTGATAATTTTACATTTCGTGAACCAATCGCACGCTTTTTTACTCTCTGCCGTAGTCTTTTACACGACACCCGTTCTGGTGTTTTTTTTGAAGTTCTCTGTTCTAGTTTAAAAAAATGATTGAATATAAGTAAACCCGACGCCGTATTTACAATTAATAATATATATTTTTGTTTAAGGATGCCATTGAACATTTAAAATGGGTAGGACTTAACGTACAAAAATGAGGCCTCGAAACAGCCCATGAAGAAGACCATCTAAGCCCATTGGACGTCTCTTCTTATTGTTCTCGTTTTATATGAATATCAACCAAGTGAAGGAAAGATAATCTGCGTTCAGCGTTTGGAATCTGAAAGTGAAGAAAAATGGGTATCAGCCGCGCGTTGACGGTGTCTCCGATTGTGCTTATTTTGGTTCTTTTGGCATTAGGTAAGTTCCTTATCCGATCAATCTTTTCGTTCATTAGTTATACGTTCTCACCATTTCCAGATCTGATCGATTGTTGAAACGTCTCGTCTTCTGATTTAATATTTTTTTCATATATATATATATATATATATATAAATATAATTTGTAAGCAATTCAGCTTCCTTACGCTTTAATTGATTATACGTTTCATTCTTGTACACTTGAAACTTCTCAGCGAATGCCAAGAAGTCCGGAGATGTGACCGAGCTGCAGATCGGCGTCAAAGTATTTATTTTCCCCATTTTATTCGCTATTTAATTACATTTTTGCGTATCTTTTCATAGTTTTCTGATCGGAGATAAATCAAACGTTGTGAAATCCGTCTCCCATTAGCTTTGATTGTATTTTGGAGGATGTTAGGTTTGAGTGGTAGTATTTCCCCCCTTATTTATGTACATTTATTTATCATTGATTTATCATGGCCGTTTATCTACAAATTTGGAATTTGCTATTTTGCTTATGAAATCTAACAAAATGCATAGTTCAATTACAGAACGAGGCTTTACTTTTTGTCTTTTACTTTGGTAAATTTAGTTCATGTTGTGTAAAGATAAATAAGTTGACTGTTATTTGTTGTTTCTCATTTTGGTCCCTTTTCTCTTTGTTTTTGTCATCTCATTATATGTTTCTTTCTTACCCTTTTCACAGTATAAGCCCCCATCATGTGAATTCCAAGCTCATAAAGGTGATAAAGTCAAAGTGCACTATCGGGTATGTTTCACTAGCTTCACCTGGATGTTTCTATTATCATATTTCTGTACCTTTCTCCCCTGCTAAACATTTTTTAGCTTTCTATTTGTCGACTGCTTTCAACTTTCTAGCATGTTCTTTTTTTGGATTCTGGAAGTTGGAGTTTGGCAATAAATTTAAATCATTGATTGTGCCTTTTCCCCTGTTTCAAATATCATTTTGTTGTGCATTTTTCTATTTATAGTTCATTGCATGAAAGGATTTAAGAAAAGAAAATAAAAGCAATAAACAATTTGTCGTGAATTTTTCCGGTTAAAAATTATTGCTCTCAAACTTTTTATGGTTGGAATTAATCGTTTAACTGCCTATGAGCTATGAATTTCTTGGTTTAAATGAATTTTCATTCATTTTTGAAGGGGAAACTCATTGATGGAACAGTTTTTGATTCCAGTTTCGAAAGGGGTGACCCCATTGAGTTTGAGCTTGGTAGCGGACAAGTAATCAAAGGTTAATTCCCCTTAACAACCACTCCACCTTTTGTTATTACTCTGAAAATGAACCGTTTGTTTTACGACCAGATTGTTAATCCGTTACATTTGCATGGAGTTCATTGATACCTGAAAATGGATATGCTATTTGCAGGATGGGACCAAGGACTGCTGGGGATGTGCGTCGGTGAGAAGCGGAAGTTGAAAATACCCGCCAAGCTTGGATATGGTGAACAGGGTTCGCCGCCCACCATCCCAGGTAAAATATATGCTTTTGTTCGTATTCGTTTATGCTCGACTATTCAGAATTTTAGGATGGTAATGATAAACATTCATCGGTTAATATAACATTGAAGGAATGATAAACATTCATAGTTTGTGCCGAACTTAACAGGTGGAGCAACGCTAATATTTGAAACAGAGCTTGTTTCAGTCAATGGGAAGCCATCGAGTGGCGCGGATACAACTGACGATGAGCTATAGATTAGTCACTTGCAGCAGAGTAGCGGTAGCCTTTGTTTTCCATTTAGAAACGCTATATGGATGGCGTAGCCTCAACATGTCTTCTGGCCAGCAGTATTAACTAAAACATTTTCTATTTGTTGGCTGGAGAGAATATAAATTGTCCAATTACATCGGTAAGTCGTTGCCAGAACCGATAAAAGAAGTGCATTTCTGATGATGGGCATTTTATATGGTATGCAAGCTTCAGTTTCAATCGCTAAATGAAGCAACTTCCATGGTTCACAAACATTTAGCATCATTTGATTAGAATCGATTAATTTTAAAATGAAAGTCAACAGAATACTCTTTTGTTTTATAATAACTTTATTTAAAATACATGTGGTTTCCGTTGGGCATTACATATTTGGATTAAACAAGAAAAACTGAAAATTTTGATGACCAATTCGGGAAAGTAAGGTGGTGTTTGGTTAGATGAAATACATTGAAATTGGTGGGAATTAGAATCCAATTTAACTAATTTCCCATGTTTGGTTCAAGTTTTTCAAGGAAATTGGGATCCCTGATGGAATTTAATTCCATCAAATGAGGGAAAGTGAATTTCATCAAAAAAAATGGATGTAATTCAATTGTCTTGTTGGAGGGAATTGAAATTTGACCATACTACCCTCATCAATCATTTGGTAACTTATTCATATATTGAATAAAAATATTTTTTTATTATTTTGGGTCGGGATGGGTTTCTAATTCATATATTCGGGTCGGGTCTGGTGAAATTTTATTTTGGTCGGGTCGGATTGGGTTTTTTTAAGTGTGATATTCGGGTCGGGTTCGGGTTTAAGGTGAAAAAAATCGGACCGACCCGAAAATATATATAATTTAGGTCGGGTCGGATTAAGTCATTGTTTTTATTAAATAAAAATAATTTTTTATTATTTCGGGTCGGGTCGGGTTGGATTTCTAATTCATATATTCGGGTCGAGTCAGGTCGGATGAAATTTTATTTTGTTCGGGCCGGGTTCGGGTTTAGGGTGAAAAAAACCGGACCGACCCGAAAATATATATAATTCGGGTCGGGTCGGATTAAATCACTGTTTTTATTAAATAAAATATTTTTTTATTATTTCGGGTCGGGTCGGATTTCTAATTCACATATTCGGGTCCGGTCTGATGAAACTTTATTTTGTTCGGGTCGGGTCGTATTTTTTAAGTGTGATATTCGGGTTGGGTCGGGTTCGGGTTTAGGGTGAAAAAAACTGGATCGACCCGAAAAAAATATATAATTTTACCTTATATATTTAAGAATAATTACAATAATACCCCTCTATATATAATTTTTTTTCAATTAAGTCAATATTTTTATTGAATAAAAATAATTTTTTTATTATTTTGAGTCGTGTCGGGTCAAGCTTCTAATTCATATATTGAATAAAAATAGTTTTTGGTATATTTTTTTGTAACTAATTAACATACTCCGATTGAAATGCATCGAAATATTGATTTATCTTTTGGTAACTTATTAACATATTTTGATTGCGATGATTTTAACTTATAATGTTTATTAGCATGATTTTTATAATTTATTAAAATGAATAATCAATTAATAAAATGAAAATTTAATATTTTTTAATTTTTTATAATATATTACTACATGTAAGTTGTAAAATAAACTAAAATAAAGCAAAATAAAATAAGGACAATTCTGTCATTTTACATTACTGAAATCAAATTCATCTGACATGTCTACGAACCAAACAAAATATGGAATTGAATTCCAATTTCATTTCCTGCCAACCAAACAGAATATGGAATCGGATTCCAATTCCTACAGATTTCAATTCCTTCACAGATTTCAATTCCCTCGTAAACATTCCAGCGAACCAAACACCACCTAATAGTAATTGGTTATTTCGGTGTGGTTTTATTAAATTTGATTCGTGATTAAAAATAAAAAAGTGAAATTATTAAAATGAATTTTTCAATATATAATTTGAGAATGCAACCTTCAACCCTTCCAAAAGTTAAAATTAGGGAAAAATATACAATTTAGTACTAAACTCGGTTTCGATGTTTTATTTACTATTTGAACTTTCTTTTGTCTAATTTAGATATTTTGAATTAAGAAATCATGTTCGGGCATCCATTTGAACCAAAAATTTAATTTATATATTTAATTGAACAAAAATGTTTATGAATTAAATTAACTTTAAATTAACTTTGAAAGAAAGTATAAGTATGAAATTTATATTTACCAATTAAAATTGTTTTTTATATATAAATTTGAAGTGAATACATATAGTTTTTGTTTAAAGACTTAATTATTTGATAATAATTGATCATACCTTTGAAAGAATAAATAAAATAACTTTGAATTTTACCTCTTTAACTTTTTTTTGTACATTTTAATTCCCTAACTTGATTTTTTCTATATTTTTTAATAATTCCTATCTAGAATTAAAAAATTAATAATTTTTATTTCATTTTAGTATCGATTAAAAAATTAATGTTAAGTTTTGAAAAAAAATTAAAAGTTTAGGTATTAAAATACACCAAAACTAATAGTTTAGTATTAATTATGTTAAATTTTAAACTGCGGATACTAAAATGAAATAAAAATTAAACAATACATATGATTTTTTAAAAAAATAAAAATTTAGATACTAAAATGGGTCACAATTAATAGTTTAGATATTAAATACGTAATTTATCCATACAAAAATAGAAAAATTTTAAAATTAGTGCGAAGTAGTAAATTAAAAAAAATAAAGATAAAACTATAAAAAAATTTAGAGATTTAAAATTGTTTTACGAAAAAAAATAGAGAAAATAAAACATCTCAGAATTTAAAATAGAGAAATTCTCGAAGCATCCTAACCTTAGAAAACAGTAATCAAGTACTATCACGTTTCTCGCTAAGCCCTTTAGTTTGGAAGCCTCTAGAATCTACAGTCTCACTTTAAATCCCTTTCTTTGCTGCCCTTCACTTATTCGCTTCTCTAAGCTTTTCGTTCACGCTCTCGCCTTCCACTACACGCGCTCGTTCTCAATCTAACTCTTGATTCCACGACTCAAAATGGATGAGGATTTAGATATCCCGGCGGCCGACGATATGATGAACGACGAAATGGGTCTTCACGACGAGGCTCCCATTATGAAGGTCGGAGAAGAAAAGGAGATCGGAAAGCAAGGCTTGAAGAAGAAACTTGTTAAGGAAGGTGAAGGTTGGGAGAATCCTGAAAGCGGCGACGAAGTCGAAGGTATGAATTATAGTCTAAATTAGGAATCGAAAGCAAAAAATTAGAAGAAAAAAAATAACTTCTTTGCTCTGAAAATGTTTTGGAGTCTGATTGGTTGTTGTTGGTGCAGTTCATTATACGGGGACATTGCTAGATGGAACTAAGTTCGATTCCAGCCGTGATAGAGGGACTCCTTTTAAGTTCACTCTCGGTCAAGGTAAATGAAGATTGCAACTTGCTTTTGGAAATTCCTGAAAACAATTTTAATATGTTTTACATTGAATTTGAAGGAAACGGCGAAGCTGGAAATTTTAGGTTTGGTTTTAGCGATTTGCAGTTTTAACATGAGTCCAATTCATTTGTTCTGACTTCTGAGTAGCATGTGCTTAAATGCTATCCTATTTATTAACTTTGTTTTGTTCCTTTTCCTGCGAGTCTCTGAAATAAAACTTGTGTTCTAGCTGTTCAAGTTTCTAATTGTGAGCAAGTGTTGCGAGCCTGCTTCATTTGGACTGCATTAATTTGTTTCGTTGAATCTTTGCGTTCGTTGCATTTAGACATTAGTAGCACGTAGAACCGGTTTCGTATATTTTTACTGTAATTAATTTGGTTGATTCAATGAGTTGATTTTTGATGATAATATGTTGGTATGTTAAGACCTTGGTTAGTTCACGATATGGCAACCATGAGAATGGTGTTGCATATGAAATTTGAATCCTTTGTTGTTAAATTTCTGCTGATTTTGTTGAAGTGGGAAATTCTTCTAATTGGTATTACTCGTTAATATGGTATGTCTACTTTATTTTAATGTTTGCAGGACAAGTTATTAAAGGATGGGATGAAGGTATTAAGACGATGAAGAAAGGAGAAAATGCTATTTTTACCATTCCTCCTGAGCTGGCATATGGTGAACCTGGCTCGCCACCAACCATTCCTCCTAATGCAACCCTCAAATTTGATGTTGAATTGCTATCTTGGTCTAGCGTCAAGGACATATGCAAGGATGGCGGGTTATTTAAGAAGATACTTACTGAAGGACAGAAATGGGAGAATCCAAAGGACCTTGATGAAGTGCTAGGTATTATTATCTTCTTTTGTTATTTATAATAGTTTTATCTTTATATGAGTGATTGTTTGATTGAATTAAGTTTAATAATGGGTTTGTATTTTGAATCTAGTTAACTATGAAGCTAAGCTCGAGGATGGAACAGTGGTGGCAAAAGCTGATGGCGAGGAGTTCACGGTTAAGGATGGTTTGTATTGCTGATGCCCTTTCTCTTCAGTTATCTCCTAATTTGTCTCGAGTAATTCTTGAAATTCCAGCGGTGGTTTCTTTTATGAATAGATCATTTCTGTCCTGCATTGGCTAAAGCTGTTAAGACCATGAAGAAAGGGGAGAAAGTACTTCTTACAGTGAAGCCACAATGTAAGTTGTTCTCATTAATTTCCTCTGAAGAATGAAGGTAAATATTCATAGTTCTTCTTGTTAACCTTATTGTCCGTGATAAAAGATGGCTTTGGTGAGAAGGGGAAGCCAGCTGCCGGTGTTGAAGGTGCAGTGCCTCCAAATGCTACACTCCAGATTACCTTGGAGTTGGTTTCATGGAAAACTGTGACTGAGGTAACTGATGACAAGAAGGTTATAAAGAAGATCCTGAAGGAAGGGGAGGGATATGAGCGCCCAAATGAGGGGTCTGTTGTTGAAGGTTTGTGTTACTATTATGAGAGAAAATTCGGCTTTCTGCATGTAGTATGCTAGAAGCTTGTCACTTAGACATCTATTTTTTCTAAACCTTTTGCAGTCAAGTTGATTGGGAAGGTACAAGATGGTACTGTCTTCTTGAAGAAAGGTCAAGCTGAAGGAGAAGAGTTGTTCAAGTTCAATACAGATGAGGGTAACAAACTAATTGTCACTCTCCTCTACCCTCAGACACCAGTTCAATGATTTTGGCTGAATGCCCCCTTCTTGAATTCTTGTACAGAGCAAGTCATTGACGGTCTTGATAAAGGTGTGATGACGATGAAAAAGGGTGAAGTAGCTCAGCTGACTATTGCACCTGAGTATGCTTTTGGGTCATCTGAGTCAAAGCAGGAGCTGGCTGTGGTTCCCCCTAACTCAACCGTGTACTATGAAGTTGAGATGGTATCATTCATCAAGGTTAGTGGATCAGTGTCCTTGTATGATTTTAGTTCTTTGTTGTGGATCTGTGACGTACTCCATTTGGAAGTGAATTAAAAGTGGTTTTGATAAATTGTTCTTTCAGGATAAAGAATCATGGGATATGAACACCACAGAAAAGATTGAAGCAGCTGGTAAAAAGAAGGAAGAAGGAAATGTATTCTTCAAGGCTGGTAAATATGTGAAAGCTTCCAAGAGATACGAGAAGGTATGCAGATGCGGTGCAATTGTTTGGCATGTTAACGTTTCTATTCCAATGCCTTGTGATTTAATTGGTGTTTTAACATGCAGGCTGTGAAGTATATCGATTATGATACATCCTTCAGTGAAGAGGAGAAAAAGCAGTCAAAGGCATTGAAGGTTGCTTGCAATCTGAACGATGCCGCCTGCAAGCTGAAACTAAAGGACTACAAGCAAGCTGAGAAATTGTGCACCAAGGTTCGAGTGGTCTTCACAATTGCAGTCGAAACATTTAGCTAGATCTTGTAGCAATTCTAACAGTTGCATGTTTTGCGGATGCAGGTTTTGGAATTAGAAAGTTCAAACGTGAAAGCCTTGTATAGAAGGGCTCAAGCATACATCCATCTAGCAGATTTAGATTTGGCAGAGTTTGATATCAAGAAAGCTCTTGAACTTGATCCTGATAACAGGTAATTTGTTTTTTCAATAGGCAAGGAAGAAACTGTTTTTGCCAGTCTGGCATTTTTGAATGGCTTTGTAAATGATTTGTTTTGCTACCAGGGAGATTAAGATGGAGTACAAAGTTTTGAAAGAGAAGATCAAGGAGTACAATAAGAAGGAAGCCAAATTCTATGGCAATATGTTTGCCAAGATGAACAAAGTGTAGACTGCCAATGTAAGTATTTTAGTGCCCGTATGGATCTTGGCCATCCTTGTTGATCAAGTGATTGAAATTCACTGGTGTTTATTTATTTTTTAATTTCTGCAGAGATCAGCTGCCAAGGAAGGTGCTCCAATGGGCATAGATAGCAAGGCATAGGTGGGACCGTTGGAGAGTGGGATCAAAACCGTTTTAGCTACTCTTGTTTTATTGTTGACATTAAGAATGTTATGATTGCTGAATAATGAATTATTGTGTTCGGTATGAGTGGTACTTTTGACTTGCTTGTGCTTGATGCGGTCAAAAGCTAATGTTTAACCATTTTTACAACTGGTGGGAGTTGTTTCAAATCTTGAATTCTGTGAGAACATGGTTGTGTTTTTTCTTTTGATAGTTGTTCAAATACAAACATTATGGCCGTCAGTTTCGTCATCTTGTTACTTAAACAGCGAAAATTGTTACGCATGTCTTTTTCAATGAATACCTCGTTTTCATCTTAATAAAACTTTGTCGTTTGCTTCCCTGTAATCTCGCGCAAACCCGGATGAAACCTACCTCGAGTAAGTTAAAGTCTCATCAGGATCGGGCTGTTCATCTAATTTTGAGCTTGGTTGTGAAGCGAGGCAGATAATGAACCATAGCACCTCCCATTTTACTTGGTGTTTCTACAGTTGCTCCGGGGAACCTCTTATCCTGAGCTGGTAAACGTCTCTAGTGAGCCTTCAACATTTGGTTTGGACTGCTTTACTACATTGATAATATTTATCCTTCAAATTTACAGGGATGGAAAATGTAAATATTGAAAATGAACCGAGGGTGTTATATTCTACACGTTCTTCACTACCATTCCGTTGGTCATTTGGAAACAAAGAAATGGGAAGATCTATGACGATTTGAACCCAAAACCCAATAGGAGCATTGATTCATATCAAGTATGAGTGCTAATATACTGGCACCTCATATAAAGGTATAAGAGGAGGATAAGGTGTCCACTCCAAAACAAGACAAAAGGTGCAACCTACTGCTCTATTTTAAGCAACTCCTACTTAATTTACACTTACGTACAAATAAGATAAGTAGATATCAGTCTCTGTCAAATAGTTAGTATTCATAGGTTCATCAAATAGTTAGTATTCATAGGTTCATCAAATAGTTAGTATTGACAGTCATAGATTAACAAAAACCTTCATTTACCAACAACCAGTCCTTAAAACAAAGGTTATGGGCTTGAATCTTGGTGTTCATGAATGGTGGGTCGGTGGTTATATAAAAAAAACCTTCATTTTTTCCATCTAGGAAAGCCTTGGTTGTTACAAAGAAGAGAAAAATTTTACACTAGCGACAGCTGCTACTAATTATTTTTTAAGATAACCATAATAAATCAAGTATGCTTTCTCTTTTTCGAAATTCTCCCATTTTCCTTGGTTTACCAATAAATACCCAAGGGAAAGGGCAAGCTGTACTATATTTATAGATTCTATTCCACTACTAGAGATCTTCTAAAGTTTTATTCTATCATTAGATTCGGAAGGTAATAACAACTAAATCTCAGAAACTGAGACTGTAAATCTTACACAGTCTGCCTGACAAATAAAGAATCGACGCCAATGATGCCTGGCCTTGCTTGTTGGTAATTAATAGGCAAGCAAAGTTTACATTCTACAATGTACTACACAACACAAACAAAAAACAGCACACGATTTCACATCCTCCGACGCCGGGTTTGGAGCATCTCTTCTCTAATCTTCAAAACCCTTTTGTTTGATACAACTTTATGTTTAACCATGGCATTCGACTTAGCAACCATTAAAAGACAAATATGTTCTGGTGGCCCATTTTAACATGGCCAGAAATATTGTTTCATGCACAAATGAATTTACTGCTTCAGTTCATTATCAGTAACCAGCAAATTTGCTTGTTATTGATCCATGAATTCATGGAACTCCTATCCTGGGACGCAATGTTGCTCTATCAGCTCACCTGTTCTCCAATCAAATCAAGACCAACCACGAGGAAACTGATACCTTGAAATAATAGGAAATAGAAGTGAATCCCTTGGGCTGATAACAAGCTTCTCACCGAGGCAGTTAACAAGACAAATGCAAGAGCAAGTTCTTTCCTGTACAGATGATTTCTCTTTGTTTTCAAAGTTTTCTTGGTTGCTTCTAGTTTGCTAAGCTCTTCAAGGCCAGAATCAGAGGAGGACCTAAGAAGACTTGCTGCTTCCATTAAAGTATCAGATTCCTTCTCAAATGCAACGAGATCGGCCTCTGATGATCTCCCTGACTTTTTTGTAACTATCCACTCGTAAGAACTTCCAAACCGGAACAGTCCTGATATCATTGCATTGAACTTTGTCACTGACATTGTGTTTTCGAATAGAAGGTATGGGACTACAAAAGGGAATGATCGTGGTGCTGGAAGGATATTCAACACGGACATAATTCCAGGGACATAGCAAACAACCCAAGCTGGTAGCTGAGCTTCTGGCAGGAACATTGTCAATGGGAGAATGATGCAGAACAGGGTGAAAGAGTAAAAGGGCAGAATAAGCTTCCGTAGGAGAAAGAACAAAAATATCAAATTGGCTTTTTTGGCCATACTTACCTGGAATACGGAAAGAAAATGAGACATAAGCAGAAAATTGAACTCTACGCTTTTTATAGTCATAAAATAGGTTGTAAAACTCCATAACTAAATGATGCCAAATTTGAGTTGAAACTTTCATGAAATTCCATGTTCAAAGAGCTTGATAAACCAAAAATAAGCTTAATTTAACAAATGGGTTAAGACAGGCATTGCTTACAGACAAATCCACGATTAGTCCATTACTGCAAAATTATCATTGATCTTGTTTTTAATTAAAAAAAAAAAAAGAATTGGTTGAGGCTAAATCTTAGACTGTTGCTCTTGCTTGCCTTGTCCAAAAGCAGCTCAACAACCCACATCTTGAGCAACCCCACGGGTTTAAAATTTTGGACTACACTACAGACCAGGATTCCAAGTGTTCCTCATCTAAATGAGCAGCAGAGTGAGGTAAATAAAGATAAGATGGTAAGGGCTAGCGTAGTAACATATGAAAGCATTTCCCTACGACATGGTTGAGTGTTACTCATCTGGATGAAAAGCCCTAATTAATAAAGATAAGAAGGAGCCCTAATTAAGCTTTATCTCCTGAAAGATAGTGTGGTTGGATTCTCCGGGAATGAGGAAATTAATAAAATTTTTATGCAGTACAATATTTAAAGGAGATATAATTAATTTAAGCATGAATGGTTTAGTTTTTATGGAAACAAGAAATGTCTGAGATAAAAGTTTCAATAAACCACAGTACCTTAGAACAAAGTATGTCAAAGAAGCACAAGCGGAACAACTGCATTGGACCAGAATGCCAGCGATGCTGCTGTTTCTTATATGCCTCATAGGACTCCGGAAGCTCACAAAGGCACTGCAGATAAAAATATTAGGTCACCTTTCCTTTCTCAAGTGAGAAAGTAATTTTTTATATTATAAATGACATTCTCTCACCTTAACATCATTCAGATATACAAACTTCCATCCAGAAAGGTGAGCACGAACGGCAATATCCATGTCCTCAACAGTTGTTCGTTCAAGCCATCCACCACAGTCCTCGAGGGCCTTAATTCGCCACACACCAGCAGTTCCATTGAAACCAAAGAAGTTGATAAACACACCATTGACCTGCTGTTCAACCTCAAAATGGAATGATAAATTTATGTTCTGCAATCTTGTGAGCAAGTTCTCATCCTTATTCACAAAGGCCCACCTTGTCTGAACCAATGCAATATCGTCATTCCCCTAGAAGAAGACAGGGAAACAAGTGCTGATCAGACAGAAATATATGTGAGCTAACAAATCAAAACAGAAAAACACCAAGATTTTTACAGAGAAAATTAACTAGTACCAACTCAAATAGAAAATAGGAAATTCCAACCAAGATATGGAGTTCCATTATTCAATTAATTTCAGTGCAAGCATTGAATTTCTTAATGTCTCAATGGTTTCATTGGTACCAATTACACAACAATTGACATGTCGCTATTACTAAAAATAAGCATAGCATAGAAACTGAGAAATGTCGAGCATTTAAAAAACCGAGTATGTTCTTAAAAATAAGCATAGCATAGAAACTAAGAAATGTCAAAACCTTCTTAAACTTATGGAGTTCTCAGCAGAAGTGAACTTAAGTGTTACCTTGAAATGAGGAATGGTTTTCTTCAAGAAATCTGGTGCCGGTTGAAAATCAGCATCAAAAATTGCAACAAACTCGTAATTTTTCACATAATCACAGTTCATTGCAGATTTCAGGTTTCCCGCCTTGTAGCCAGTACGGATAAGACGATGCCTATATAATATATGCACGCCCCTGTGCTGCCATTTCTGTACTTCTGCTTTGATAAGAAGCTGAACATCTACATCATCAGAATCATCCAAAACCTGAACCAGCATCCTCTCCTTTGGCCAGTCCATAATACAAACAGCTGCAATAGATTGTTGGTACACCTGCACACCAGAAAGTGAAAATTTTATGCAACTTTTACTGCAAACCTCTTATAAATGAATCATTTATTTTTGAAGTTCAAATTATTTTGATCAACTTCCAAATAGTGAAACGAAAGCAAATGCCAAAATAATTTGAATGTCAGTATCTCAGTCAATGTGGAACTAACAAGGGAACTAGAAACCACTAAGCACTAGGCCTAATCTTGCTATGCTACCAATGCATGCTGCCCTATTTACCATAGAACACTAACAAGGAAGACAGAAGAAGGAATGTAACCCAGTAAATTCAGAGTAGCCTAGCCTAATCTTATGTTTTATTTCTTTTAGTACCCTAATCAACACATAGCATGAGCATACAATTATGGTTTAAAGAACTAAACGAAGTCAAAAGGTTTACAAGTCACTGTTCAATCTTCCCTTATCTAAATAAATAGTGCATCCATGACCGAATGGAGCAACTTCAGTAAATTTGAGCTTTAAATCTACTAAACGAATTTCCTAAAGAAAATGATTCAGCTAGGGACTTTAAAACCTGCATCTACTTAGGGCTTACCTCCCTCTCATTGCACATAGGAATTTGCACCAATACCATTGGATAATCCTCTACATTCTCTCCTTCGACTCTCCCTGCCGGATACTCCATCGCCGCCATCGGCTTCAGCTTCCTAAATTTGATCCAGAAACATCCTAATATCAACACCACGCGATCCACCGACTGAACCAAGAACAGAACGATGCACACATTAGCCAAGCTCTGAAGCGGCGGCGCCAAGAAATCAGCTCTGATTTCGAGCCACTTGGCATAAACGAGCTCGACGGCGGCCTCCGCCTCCGCCACCGACGGAGGACTAAAATGCCATCCCTTGAAAAACGCGAGTAACTCTACGCAAAGCAAAAGAATCACCAGGAAGAGAAAGAACTTGATAACACGGTAGAGCCTGGAAGCGGAGTAATCGGAGGAGGAATCCGGAGAGAAGATTCGTCGGTTGGCGGTACGAAGAAGGAGAAGAGAAGCGCTAGCGATCGAGGCGAGAGAGTTAGCGAGTTGCTGGAACCTCAAGAGACAAACCCAGGAAAGCTGGCGTGCGCTTCGGGAGCGGTCCTTGTCGGCCGTCCGATCAGGAAGGGGGTTGGTGATCTGGACGGTTAGAAGTTCGTTGGTGGGATTGGTAGTTTCGTTGGTGAAAAACTGGTGGTTATGCTCCCTCTGCTTGTTCCACCATTCCTGAAACTCGTAGTTGGGCGGCCGCGACATAAATCAACAAATGTAAATGAAATGCCTTCGACTCTCGCTTTGCTTCTGTTCCAACTGCTCAAGTATAAAGCTCAATTGAGGAAGAATATACCAAATCCGCTGTTCCTTAAAATCAAAATCCCCAGTTTAAGAAGCGATTAAACCCAGATTTCGCATAATGCACACGCTAATTACGGGGATCTTATACGGATTACGAAGTAATACGTAAAAAAATATATTTGTTTTATTTTAAAAGGCTTAAATACATGTTTCCCCCCTAAATTATACCTTTTTTTACTGAGTTTCCTCTTAAAATATTTTTTGAGATGTTTTGCCCTTTAAAATTTAAATTATTACTTCGATTGTTGTTAACTTTATTTAAAAATACATGAGTAAATTATATATTTAGTCACTCTATTATTCTATGGTTCTATTTTGGTTAGTAAACTATTTTTTTTTTCAAAATCATCACTAAATTTAAGTTTTTGTTTTGTTTTGATCACCAAATTCGATTAGATTTATTCTTTAGAGGGCATGTATATTTGTAGACCATCGTTTTGTATATTTGAGTCGTAACTATTTTAAATGATGGTCTGTATATTTTAAATTATTATTTTTGGGAGCTCATGATGTATACTATTTTTTATCAAGGTGGTTGTTTTACTTTATTTTTATTTTTCTTTCAAGAAAACAATTTCAATTAAGAAATTAAAGAAAATTTTTGGTTAGCCACTTCGGTGGTTCTGTGTGGTATTTTTGTCGATCGACTGTGTGTCGTACTGGTTTAGGGTATTACACATGTAACATGCTCATTTGTTGAATGCATGTCGTGTAATTGGGTTATTTGTGTGGCATTGAGCTTGTGAGCTCTGCATATGAAATGTGTTTCGTGCGTAGGTTCTTAGGTGCCAATTCGAGGAGCACGTCGCCAGACACCAGACATCCAGGTTTGATCCTTATCAGAGTACGTCTCGATTGTTGTAGAGGGTGTATACTGTCATATACCCTATTATAATATTAAGTCGTAAAATCTATTTTTACTTTGTAAACATATTTAAATTGAGTAGCTTATCCTATTTTGAATGAATGAATGAGTTAAATGTTTTCAAAAACAAAATGGTTAGCCACTTAGGTGGTTCTGCGACATTCTAATCCACTAGATTTTGGGTCGGATCGGATTAGGGTGTTACATTTTTATTATTTTTTATAAAAAAAATCTTAAGTGTTATTATTTAAATTTATTATTAATAAATATATAATTTTTTTTAAATATTTTAATTAAATAACTTTTTAATGTATATTTTATGAAATCTAATTATTTAAATTAAAATTTTAAAATTTTTAACTATAAAATAACCAATAAATTACAATGGGGGAGTATGCTTTAGGATGAACTTAGATACATACTATATTTAAACATAACGAAATGAAAATCATTTTTTTTAAGTAGGATGAGATGATTACAAGGTAATGTTTTTTCATTTTTTTTCTAATCGTTGATAACATGTATATATAGTCGTTGACGCAGATTATTGAATCTAAGATCTTTAAGAAAAATTACATTATTTTTAACCATTAATAGCACTTAATAGATTCTAAATAAACATCAGTGTTGCAAACCCGAAGGTGGGTTTCAATTTATGAGTATTAATAATCTTTTAACCATTATTTCCTTCCTAATAATTTCTTATGTATTACTCACTCGTTCTCTATCATTTTTCATTTGATTTGTATGTGTTAATTACGTCGCCATCATATTTCACGAACAATGAAAACGGTAATGAATCATTAAACCCTAGCCGCCTCTTTTTTATTTTAACTTAATTTTTTTTAATATTTTTGTGTCGCCTTCTTCTTTCTCTTTGATTTTTATTTAATCGGTAGAGACATCAATCTTAATATTGGTTGCCGACCGTCAGGGAATATTAGTTCTCTTTTTTTTTTATTATGTCTTTATGTTTTTTTTCTTGAGTTTTTTAAATTTTGAATAAGCGTTTATGTCCTTGTGACATGATTTTTCTCCGCTCTTGTAACACGCGTTTCCTCTGCTCTTATGGCATGATCCTCATATTTTTCGGTACGTTTATTTTTGCATACCTTTGTTGTCGTTTTGGTTCTCGTACAAAAATCATCACAACATTTATTTTTTTGATTAATTAGTCGGTGGTCATGTATAATCATATCCCCTCTTTTGGTAAAAGGTTATTTGAATTGTGTAGCGAAGCAGCCTGCCATATTATTTGGTTCGCTCTCCAGTCCTTTATCACAAGTGTCTCATTTGACAGAGACAATGAGTTTATATGAAGGTTGTTGGGTTTTGATATTAGTTGTCATTCTCAATGGAATGTTTTAATTTTCTTGGTACTTTTAGGTTTATTATTTACTTTTGTTTGAATATTTTGGTGAATATTACCTCCAAATTTATCTCTTTATTCTGATTCGATGTAATTTTGATTCTTTCCGTTATTAATAAAATCCAGTTGCCGTTGTTCAAAAAAAAACTACGCTGCCATCATTCATCTTCAATTAAAGATCAAACTTTTCATAAAATTTATAGTAGCATTATTTTTAGCTTTCTTATTATGATATGATAAAAAACTTAGAATCATGAAGTGCATTCAACCAACATTCGATCAGAGAATATCAAACTTTCTATTGACTAGGAAAATATAGCAATGAAAATTTTTAGTGAGAGAAATCATATTCAAACATCAGAGAAGATATTGTTAAAAGAAATAATCACGAAGTTTGAATATAAACGACGAAACAAGCATCAAATACGACTTAAGTTTTAAGTAGGCATATTATACCATACAAGAACCAATGGAAGATGGTTCTTAGGCAATGGAAAATCAAAATGGAGCTTGAAATGTAAATAGATTAGATGCAAACCCTTTTGATATCATTCTATGTTGTAATACGAAAGCTACCAAGAGATGATAGCCTGTGTATTTGGGTTGTACCCTTTTACCACCCAACAAGTCGTATGGGCTCATTCTAATGCACGCACGCCCATATTTGGGCTTTTAAAATAGTGAACCCTAGAGAGAAGCCCATGTTTTAAAATTTTCAGTATTTATTATTTATAGAAAAATGCCACGTGTGTTGATGTAGGAAACTAAAAAGTTAAGGAGAATGAATTTTTAAACTACTAAAAGCAGGTTTGTGGATCAGTAGGTTCATTGGATCACTTCTCCAAATTAGGTTACGCGTCTACCTACATGCATGTAATTCACGCTTTCTTTTTTCTCATACAGATTGTTTAACGTTTGTTTTAGACTTTTAGTTAGATTTTGGCTTAATTCAATATTTAAGCCCCCCGAGCATATGCTTTTATCCACTTCACACCCTAAACTATTTTCTGTCCCAATGTACCCCTTAAACTATCATTTTTTGTCCCAGTTTACTCCAAATAAAAGAAAACAACCAATAAGAATGTGACTCGTTACATATTGTTATTGGACACATTGAAAGAAACAATTTACAGTGTAAAATAGGAAAATAACTATAAATTCAGTAATAGTCCCATTTTTCAATATACGTATTCACATATAACACCCCTCGACTCTGATTGTGGAGTTTCTAAATTCAGTATGAAATCATTTTTCCTATTTTATTAAATAAAATCATTTTAAACATTTATTATAAGGAAAATGACATGAACTGTGGATAAATTTAAAAAGTGCAATAGAAAAATAGGTATATTTCCAGCAAATGATTTGGGGGGGGGGGGGGCACAAATACTTGGAACTTGCGCTCAAGGAAGCTTTGAATGCAGAAAAACATAAACACGCTTATAGTTGGAGGGCATGAAATAATGCATTGGTTGGTGAAGTAAATCATGGGGGAGGGTGGATGCTAGCTTTTTCTCACCCAATCAAAACTGTTTTAATTTTACCATTAGAATTTATGGAATGAATTCAGTAATACAAAAGATTATTATTTTTCCTATAATATCCGAATTCGAACAATTACGTTTATAGCAGGTATAAACTTCGCCAAAAAACAAAGAAATTTTTAGACCAAATCAACTTTTCAAGATTAATATTTATTGAACGATGTTATCTGTTTATAATATTTTGAGTTTATCTTGTGGGTGATATTGATCTTTAATTTTAATCGGAATTGAATTTGATCATAAGAAAAAGAATTAGATAGTGAGAATGACCAAGGCAGTGGGAAACATACCTTAATCAATCATATATAATATGCCCTAAAATAGCAATCAAATGGGCTCCTTGAACGAGTATATGTCCTGATCCTAATCACTTAAAATTTAAAAAAGGGGGCTAATTAGGTGTTGTGGGAGACTATGAAATGGCTTTTTCTATCTGGTGAGCACATGGATTTGGGGATTTGATTAAGACTATTTACCAGCAAATTCCCATAGGAAAAAACCCCCCCTACATCACTATAGCCATGATGCTACCAGTGTAGACCCGTTAAAAGATTGAGATGACTGAACTGAGGACTAAACTTTGATTCGATTAGTACTGTTGCTATAATATTCTATAAGTTACAAATTTAAATGATTTAAATATATTTAAATTTTTTAGAATTATAAATAATTTAGACATTACATCAATAAAATTTATATATGAGTAAATTAAAAAAATCTGGAGAAATAAAACATGTCTCAAAGTGATTGGTTTCCAATTTTAATTTTATGTGAAAACGCCTTTCCAGTGATAAACAGCATCACATGAACAACTTCTATAGCTATTTTATTATATAAAGGCATCTTTCCGGCAATTAAACAAATTCTAATACGAGAATCCAATTATTGATCCTTGAATTAGAAAATAAAATATATATAAAAAATTAAAATTTGATTACCAATTTAAAAAAAAAAACTTGAATTCCACTACAATGATTACCATTTTTTGTAATTTTATATCCTTCGTAAACAAAACAATAATACTAATTTTGACAGTAGGTGAGATAACAAAGCTCAATGGTTCAATGGGTCTAGTCAGAATCTCACCTATGCCAACCTGGGATTCTTTTGATGCAAAAAAAATAATCTAGCATAAAGTATCAACTAAAAACAAGTGGAAATGTATAATCTAATGGCTGGTTATAACTTTTGGTTATGCTTAAATTAATTAGTTACTTTTTTCTTTTTGTTTTTTTATAATAAATTTTTAATAATATGAAAGGATTATATCTTACAAATATAATTATTTAAACTCTTTAGTTCAGGCATGAAAATTAGTGGAAAGTTGCCGAGAATTAAGGGTTGAAGCCAGCTATGCTAAGATAAAAGACCACCAATGTCTTAATCATGAGTTTTGAGATAGAAAATCTTAGGCAACAAATACAGCTGGTTAACAATTAAAACACCGGTAAGGGTCTAATCAAGCAGATTACAAGATCTATCGGTGCTTTTTTAAAAATTTGAGGTGATGGTGACCCCCATGCAAAAGTTTCCAAGAGAATTCTGGGAAATCCTTCAGGTTAAGATTATGTCTCAAATTAATAAAGTTAAATGTCCAGTAGTGTGCAAAATGAAAGCTGCTTGATTAGAATTAATTGATTAAAATACTATATCTTACAAATGTTGGTGCCTTTTTCTCCATAAAGATCTTTGCACCATGAATACACAGATTTTACATTGGGTTAATTGGTAAGGGATCCACAAAAAGGGGTAAAAATGAATTAGAAGTTGAACGATAGAACCCTAAACTGGAAATAAAAAAAAGGAAAAGAATCCTCCACTTTAACCCTAAGCATAAATGGCTAGTAGCCTAGTTATGGTAGTTCATGCATTGGTCCAATAATAAGTTCATTTTTTTATATATACAAGCAGTAATTCTCTGCTTTAAACATTTAATCCAGGACCAAAGAATGGTGTTATTAGAGCTCAACTTTCATGTCAGAGACTTGATTTGACCCTGCAATTACAAGAATAATCAATCATTACTCAGTCTCAGACAGTCTGATATAAATGTTTGTTAATTCTATCGAGTCTTTTTGTGCTTACCCTGGAAGTTTTGTGAATGTAATGCCATTTCTTGGCTCTGATTATGGCCAAACCCCATCTGAACTAGGGTTTCAAGGTCACCTTCACAAAATGATGGGTACTGAAACATGATTGACACCCAAATTTTAGTTCTTTAGGTCTATGAAAATAATGGAGAAAAACTCTGGAAATGAAACTCACCTGAGGTACGGTTTTAATAAACCGGTTAATTTGAGTTTGAGGCAAATGGGTGTTAAGTTTAGGGGAGATGGCAGAATCTAAATGTCCACCGAGCATTGAGACATTGTCCCATTAGCAATATTGCTATTTATGGTGGATTTTGCTGGCTGGTGCCCCAAAAAAGCTGAGGAATTTACTGGGAATATTGGATTCTGAGGTACGGTTTTAATAAACCGGTTAATTTGAGTTTGAGGCAAATGGGTGTTAAGTTTAGGGGAGATGGCAGAATCTAAATGGTCCACCGAGCATTGAGACATTGTCCCATTAGCAATATTGCTATTTAATGGTGGATTTTGCTGGGACTGGTGCCCCAAAAAAGCTGAGGAATTTACTGGGAATATTGGATTCTGCAAAGTGTTTGAATGAAATACCTGCAAGAGAGAGAGAGAGAGAGGGTAAATTTCAATTCAAAGATTTGAAACATTATTTATTCTAAAAGATGAAGTGTTCTTTAGACTTGCATCCTTTGACACTAAACTCTCCACGTTGAAGTCCAGGCTGGTGTTCACTGAAGCTAACTTCATTGAGAGGAACTGCAAATAAAAAAACCCATGAAAACTTGTATACCAAGAAATTGTTCACCACACGTTTATCAAATAAAAAAGTTAATAGTTTTACCTCAACTTGTCGTTGCAATGATTGAACATAATTTATAATTTCGTCCAGCATCAAGGCTTTTCCAGTAACCTACAATTTGATACCCCAAAACCCCATTATGTTTTAGAAATTAGAGCAATCATTTTTCTTGATTTATAACAGATTTTGTTTCAGACCTTGTTGCAACCAGGAACAAGATTTTGCAGAAGCTTCATTCTCTCACTGATTTTCTCTCTACGGACCTGATCAAAGTGACAGATACTGATAACCAAGAAACCCCAGATTTTGAATTCAGAAGAAAAATGAATAATGTATTACGATCCTCACTCTTTCAGCTAAACTATGGCTGTCAGTGGCTTGACCCCTTCTTGCTCTAACATGAATATAGTCTTTGGGAGGCTCAGGAGCCTTTGTATTGCTTCCATTGGCGTCTTCTTCCTCTGCTTTACCAGACCCATTTTCGTTTCCATTGGTCTTGGATAACTTGCATCGCTTTTCATTTGATGCCTCGTTGAGTTTAGTCACCTGGAAATGAGCGATTATAGAATGTTGAAATGTAATTTTTCTCTTCAAAGAAAGTGGAACTCTGTTCAAAGTTATACCTTCGAAGAATTTGGCGATGGGGATGGTGAAGTTTCGTTTGTTTTTGCTTTGGGGACCGCTTTTCTTTTCCTTGAATTTGAACCTTTAAAACCAGGATCGGGATTTTGTTCGGAGACGGTGGATTCCTCTCGACAATTGGCTGCCAGTGTTTTCATAGCCGGAGAACTGGAAACACGCGGTAGCTTGACATTCACCGGCGGCGGATTAAATCTGCAAGCGGCGATTTCACCGTTGTCTTTGGGTCCAAATTGAGTCCTTCGACCATTGAAACTCCTGCTTCCAAAGCAAGAGAATTTCGCTGCTCTCTCCGCAAATCCAGGATCAGCTGAGAAATCCGCCACACCGGATTTCAGCCCCATTGATTTCGGCACCGGCAAGTTCAATTTAGGAGGTGAATTCAGTGGAGTGCTGTAACAAGAGGAAGAAGCAGCCGCCAACATGGGCTGAGAATGGTGGAGGATCTCGCCGGAGTTACCGACGCTCCCCAGTTTCCCTATCAATTCCCTCATCATCAAGCTCTCGCTGGACATATTATTGCCATTCGATGAAGCTGGGGAAGAAACCATGGAACTCAAGGCCGACTCGTACTGTAAACCATAATCAGTCGGAAAACAATCTTGGGACTGAATTTCCATTACCGGTGACAGAGACGATGATAAAGACGACCCAAAGTGCAATGGCGGGATTCCTGCATCAAGGAAAAACTGGTTGTCCATCTACTAAAATTCAACGTGAAGATCCAGATAAAAAAAATTGGGCTTGGGAGTTGGGATTCTTTAGAAAGGCAAACGGGTGGAATTTAAGTGGGAAAGAATGGAACGTGGGATAAAAATGATTGCTTGTTTTCATGAAAGAGAGGTGGTTAGAAGAAATGTTAGGCAGAACACAAATTTGGTGAAGAAAAGCATAGCAAAAGAGAGTGAGACGGTGAAAGGGGAAGAATTGGTTGGGCTGCCATGGAGTTATATAGATGTAAAACAATGCTTGTTGCTTGATTTTTTTTCCTTTTCTTTTTGCAATGATTAAACAATTTATTTTTTCTAATTTTAAAATAATATTAATATTAATGATTGCATATTAATACTGTTTAACTATATATTTATGTATTTATTTATACATGCATTACATTTTATTTATATTTTTAATTTTTTAATTGTCGGAGTTCTTTTACGGAAGCTACTCTCAACCTGGTGTTAGGGGTAACCTACTACCCTACTCCCTCTTATCCCCATTACATATGAAAATTGAGTTTGTTGTTGTTGTTAATGCGACTACTATTATACTAAGGGTTTGGTTATCAAGTTCTTAGTGAAACTATTAGACTGTAGGAGATGTAATTAAATAATATGATGCATATTATATTTTCGTACAAGAATAATAAACTCCCTAGGTTTTCCCTTTTTGCGCTGTTCTTCCTTTTCTTTTTGCCCGTCCATGACATCAATTTTAGTGTGATTGTCGATCGATTGTGTTTCTTATTTTTTTATTTACAATTTCTCTGTATTTATAATTTTTTGTTGTTTGTTATTTTTGTTTTTATCTTTTTTTAAAGTTAGATTTAACGCATCGACTGATCAAAATCATACTTACTTATTATCTGATGATCTTCTATACTTTGAATCCTTGTATCGGATTGGACAACGTGGTTGCATTCGTAGATAGTTTCTTATGTCGCTCAACTCTGATTTGTGATTTATCGACGGCCTTTAAGTAGTAGTTTTCATCTTCTTTTGTGGCTCGTTTATCGATATCATCAAATTTATTCTTATATATTTTTATTATTATTTTGGTTGAGTTTGCAACATTTTTCTTACATGGTTCTTTTATGATATTAGTAACTAGTTTCTTGTATTAATTGTCATAAAAAATATTTAATTATGTGTTTAATTTACGATTACAGTTTTACATATTCATTGTAATTTTAAGTATTTTTTTGATAAAATTAGTGCTTCTATTAAAAAAAAATGGATCAAGAGGACGATTGGATACAATTGCTTTCTCTCAATCTCAAATTATAATATATTATATTTTTTTTAATTTTCTGTTGTTAATATATTTAACTCCCTTAAATTTTATAAATTTGTGCCCTCTTAAACTTTTAAAAATTCACTCTATTAATATAAAATTGCGTGTTTGTATTTTTTTATATGTAAAATTTTTAAACTCTACGAAGGCAAAATATAAAATCATAAATTTTAATATTTTTATTAAATGGCTATGATAATGTATTTAGTTAAGAAAAAAAATAAGATACTGATGAAAATTACATTTAAACTTTAATTTAATGTATAATATATGGATTTTAATTTTTTTATAATTATATATATTAAAAAATACAAACCGGTTGGTTCAAGTGGTAAGCAACTTGATATCTCTTAAGTAAGGTCTCAAGTTTGAGTCATTATGTATACAGAAAATCTCTGCTGGGAGACTTACCAATCAAAGTCATGTGTGCGACGCGGATCGGTCTGGATTACCAAGTTGAAGCCTTAGAGTCGGGAGGACAAAAAAATATAAGTATATAAAAGAGAAAATAACCTCAGCGACCAAAAATGCCTTATAATATACGATTTTAACAAACTTTTTTTGGATTCGCCAAAATGACCAACTAAATCGCAATGCGATCGATAATTCGCAACGCGATCTCCGGTATCGCAAATCAGTTTCCAGATTCGCAACGCGATTCTGACTTTTTAGGTTTTTTTAGGTTTTTAATTATTTTTATTTTGAAATTTTTGCATTATTTTAGGTTTTTCATATTGAAATTGATGATAAGTTTACTGGTAATTTCAATAATAGATTAACCATTTCACTTAGATTTCTTATTAAATTCATTCAATTGCTGCCAATACTGCTAAACTGTTTAGTCTTTAACCCTGTGAAATTAATATTTGTCTTTGTTTTTGTCTTTTGGTTGAAGTAATGCAGAAGAAGAATAGTTTCTAAACTTAAAATCGCAACACGAAAATGACTATCGCAACGAGAGAAATGAAAATCACAACGCGAAACCAAAATCGCATTGCGATTCTCTCGTTGCGATTTTCATTTCGCGTTGCGATAGTCATTTCCGCGTTGCGATTTTCATTTCAACCAAAAGACAATACAGTGTTGCAAATTTTTCATTTCCGCCTAGCCACTACAATTGCTTCGAAGCTTTCACCTGCACAAAGAAAAATGTTTGAGGAAACCTGCTTCGGGCCATGGCTGAGAGTACAGCATCCGGGTGGAGATGCTAATTTGACCCATTTGTGGCTTCAGACCGTGACTAGCGATCTACCCGACAATATACAACGTGGTGAGGAAGAGATATGGTTTCATTTTCCACCGGCGTATACTTGTTTTGGGCGGAAGAAGTTCTGCTTAATCACTGGTCTACGATTCGGACACGATGATGTAGGCTGGTACACTCGTCATATCACCCGCCCATCATGGTTATCCAGGGTTTTTCCTGATGAGTCAATAGAGAAGCCGAACTTACACGTCGACGACCTGAAGAAATTGTTTAATAAGAAAGATGGTTTTACTCGGATGAATGACGTCGATGTTGTCCGAGTATGCCTTCTACTACTTTTGTATGCCGGCTTTTTAGGCAGAGAGGCCAGACAACCTATTCCTCAGGAGCTAATATTATTGCTAGAGGACCTAAATGCATGGAATCTGTTTCCGTGGGGTTCGTATATATGGAAAGCTACCTGGACTAAGTTGTCGTATGCCTTTGATGACCGCAAAAGTTTGTGTGGCGATGGGTCGAAATACACTTTGTCAGGCTTTGTTTGGGCCTTTAAGGTAAGAATTTCTATATAATGTTTTCAAAATTATAATTAATTATTTAACAATTACTAATGTTTGTTTATTATATTGTTTGTAGATTTGGATATTCGAGGCTTTCCCCAGCATGCAGACATATGCATTAAAAACTTCAAATGATATTCCTAGGGCTATTTCCTGGAAGAGGAAACGTCTGTTGGATTGGGAAGACTTAATACCATATGCGACAATAAATAATGTAAGTTAACACAAATACTATCATATATAAACAAGTTATTAATAGTAGACGTTAACTTTGTTTGAGTTTTTATATTTTTAGGAGGCCAACACTCCATTAATGAGACTGACACCCACGGAGGCTGAGCTTGCCACTAATTGGTGGCAAGCTAGTCAGCGTTTTCTTGATGGCACGAATGATGAGCAGCCTCCACTTCCTCCACTTCGAGAGCCATCACCTCACCCAGAGCCATCACCTGATCGACCCGACTATACACCTCTACAACGAGAGCCATCACCTATCCCGTCACATCATCGAGCCTCTTCTCCACCATCACCTCATGATAGGCGACCGGCAAAGATGCCACGACTTCTATCTCCCTGTTCTCCACCTCCACGGGATGAGTCAAGGGAGTTACGTGATGAGGTCAATGCCTTGCGTGAGGAGATCGGTACTCTACGCGATAACGATTGTGCATGGCGTGTGGAGATGTCTACTTTACGTGGTGAGGTTGCCGCTCTACGTGAGATGGTAGTATCGTTGTAGAATGAGGTTCATACTCTATGCAACGAGGTAAGTTTAAGATTTTCCATATTTAACTTGATGATAAATTTACTCGTAATTTCACTTAGATTAATCATTTCACTTAGATTGCTTAGTAAATTTATTCAGTTGTTGCTAATACTGCTAAACTGTTTATTAACATTATGAAGTTAGTATTTGTCTTTTGTTTTGTCTTTTGGTTGAAGTAAATTTATTCGGTTACTGCCAATTCTGCTAAACTGTGTATTCTTTAACACTGTGAAGTTAGTATTTGTCTTTGTTTTGTCTTTTGGTTGAAAGTAAATTTGTTCGGTTGCTGCCAATTCTGCTAAACTGTGTATTCTTTAACACTGTGAAGTTAGTATTTGTCTTTGTTTTGTCTTTTAGTTGGAAGTAAATTTGTTCGGTTGCTGCCAATTCTGCTAAAATGTGTATTCTTTAACACTGTGAAGTTAGTATTTGTCTGTTTTTGTCTTTTGGTTGAAAGTAAATTTGTTCGTTTGCTGCCAATTCTGCTAAACTGTGTATTCTTTAACTCTGAAGTTAGTATTGTCTTTGTTTTGTCTTTTGGTTGAAGTAATGCAATCCATTCAAGTTTCAATTTGCAGAAGAAGAAGAAATAGTTTATTCTTGAAACTATATTTTAGCAACACTGTTTTTTCTTTTGGTTGAAATAAAAATCGCAACGAGAGAATGAAAATCGCAACGCGAAACGAAAATCGCAACGCGAAATGAAAATCGCAACGTGAAACCAAAAAGCGCAACGCGAAACTATAATCGCGTTGCGATTTTAATTTCGCATTGCGATTCTATCGTTGCGATTCTCTAGTTGCGATTTTCGTTTCGCGTTGCGATTTTCATTCTCTCGTTGCGATTTTCATTTCGCGTTGCGATAGTCATTTTTCACGTTGCGATTTTAAGTTCCAGAAACTATTCTTCTTCTGCAAATTGAAACATGAATGAATTGCATTACTTCAACCAATAGACAAAGACAAATACTAAGTTGACAGTGTTGCAAGTTTAAAACATATTTGCCTTTGCTATCTGATGCATTTTGTGAACTATGATAGAATAACGATAGAATTCACGCATCAGACGGCGTGCACGTGCTATTAAGTCTCCGTACACCCCAATAGTGTGAAGACACCGCAAGAAGAAGCCCGACTCGCCTGTCATCCTCAAGAGTCCACTCCTATCGTTGAAGAGGCCCCTATCATTCCTCGAGAGTCCCCTCCCACCGTTCAAGAGGCCACTGTCATCGTTGAAGAGGTTCCTCCCACCATTCAAGAGCCCGATTCACATGGCGTCATATGTAAGATTCTTGAGAAACCCTCTGACGTGCCGGACATGATGGATGAGAGTTGGCTCTCATATGAGTTATCGGCCAGTACCATACCGGTA